TTTGAGGCCGTTGAGGCCGATCACCAATAGCCGATCACAGAAAGCAGTATCTGCCGATCCGATCACCAATGTCAGAATCAATTTTTGTGAAGTTTTATAAATTGTTCCGCAGAACATTACGGAAAATGCTGCATGTTCACATTCAATTTCATTCTACACACGCCCCAGGCTTTTCTTTGTCCTGCATCTCAAACTTTATCATATGAGATATTTGTAATATTCTGAAAATACTTTCGCTGAAATCATTTGTGTGAATCAAGGAAGGCAGTTGCCAGCTTGGATTTATGCTCTGTTGTCCTATTCTGTCTCAGAATCAGAATGAGCTTTATTGCCAGGTATGTTTTCACATACGAGGAATTTGTTTTCATGACAGAAGCTTCCGCAGTGCATTAGAATGACAGCGACAGAACAAAAACACAGATAATAAAAGAATAAAAAAAAGAACCAAGTAAATAAGTAATAATATATAAATTGACAATTGTATGTGCAGGTATATTACAATAGACAGTTTTGTATGTACAGGTATATTATGTGCAAATTTGAGGTGTAGACTAAGTATGTGTGTTAGATAAATAAGTGTATGAGTATATAAATAATGTGTGTTCCACAGTTATTGAAGTGCAGAGGACGGATTCAATGATGGTGGAGTAGAACTGTTTCAGCAGCTCCTGTGGCAGGTTGATCAGTTTTTGATTACCTGATCATCAGTGTCTTGTTGTATCTGGATTTTAATTTAGATAGATAATTTTAAAATTGATCTCAATACAATGGTAATTGATCAGTTACAGGTAAGGAGAAACAAGAAATTGCAGCTAAGCAGACTTATTCAATAGACTGATGATTATGGTAAACAAACACAGCAAAACAAATAATAGCTTTCCAGGCATAATCACCATAAACAAATACAACAACCTCGGGGCTATAAAAGCAAAGACATAAGAAATTTAACTAAAGGTTAGAAATTAGTAACCATGGACACAAATAAGGACTGCTCAAAGGGGTGATGAACATAATCAGTTCCTAAGGTTAAAATGAATATTTTAACTTAATTAAACGTGACACTAACAATTAAAATGTAAGAAGAGGTTGAGTGTATGTGTCACGTGTGTGTGTTCCCGCTGAGTTCCTGTTTGCCCTTATTTGGTCCTTCCTGTTCCTGTCCTCCTTGTATGAATTTGTTTCCAGCTGTGTTTGTTTAATTAGTTAATTTGCTCCCAGATGTGTCCCATTGGTGTCTGTGTATTTATAGTGAGTCCCATTCAGTGTTTCTTTGTCTGCTTTTAAACATTGTGTTGCTGTGTCTCCGAAGTTCCCCGTGTGTTCAAATTAAATTCCATATTCCAGTCGAATACTACATATAACATAAGAGTCAGTTTCATATGGCAATAAGCATGGTACGTTTGCACAATAATACCTTCAAAAACTGAAACTTTATGTTAGAAAATGGGACATGAGTGCAACAATACACGCTATAAAAACATTTTTGGAGCGAGTTTGTGTTTCCCAGAAACTGTAAAGTAAAATTACATGAAAATTAATACAGTAATAGTCAGGGTCACTGTGAAAAGGAATCAATGAAAGAATGAGCAAACCTACAAAGGAAAGAATTTTATGAGTGTTTGAAAATGGGATGTGATGTAAAAGTGCAAAGGTTCACATAGATACTTGGGGTGAATTTACCTTTAATTTTCTCAAAAACTATACAGTAAAAATATTTGAAAATTAATACAGTAATAGTCAGGGACACTGTGAACAGGAATCAATTAAAAGAACGAGCAAACCTCTAAAGAAAATATTTTTATGAGTGTTTGAAAATGGGACGTGATGCAAAAGTACTTATGCATTTATTGGAAAATGGGACACAGTGCAAGTGCCAGGACGCATTTTGATGTTTGGGGTGATTTTGCTTTTAGTTCTCTCCACCATTATACAGTAAAATGGCTAGACAATTAATGTACAATACAAACGTTTATGTACAAAAATAATGTATTTAAAAACTAAAATAAAAGTTAAAATAAGCAAAAGTATAAAGGAAACGTCTGTATGACAGCTTCTTTATATGCATTTTGACTGCTCTCAGCACCCGTACCGTAAGTGCACAATTACACGCGCAATACAAAAAAAGTGCGGCTGGCTTGACCGCAGTTTAAAAACCAAGTGATTCTTAAAGGTTAGTTTCAGTTTCGAAAACGCCCATAAGGACATCAGAGAACGGCGTCGGGGATCTTTAGCGGCTGGCGATTCGTTTTGGACTGTCCTCCTCGAGGTATGAGTAATTATTTTCGTGATATTTTGTTATATTGTGGATGCATTCTTGCGTTGGGCTATATTTTCTCTCTTTTTAGTTGCTTTCATCATTGGGATTGATCGGACGAACGCCTGCATGTGTGTCTGCTCTCCAATAATGATGCGGTTGTGTATTTTGACATCTTTTTTTTTTTTAACAGGATGATCATTTTCAAATCCTTTTTTGAAGAATCGCTACCTTCTGTTTTTTTTTTTTTTGTCGTCATTCTTTTTGTATGCCTTGTATACCGTAAAACGCCTTGATTGGGTCTATATGGAAAAGGGCCCAGAATCTAGAATAACCCGCATATAAAGCGAACACGTTACACAAGTCATTGCATGGTTACCGGTTCGCTACAGAATAGATTTTAACATTCTGATAGTGGTCTATGTAAGGGATAATCACGGCTAGCCATGCATTTAAGGATTTTAAATGCACGACGTGAAGCACGGCTAGCCGTTGATTATCCCGCTTATTCCGTGGTCATTTGCCAAGTTATAGACAAGTTAAAACTACTATTGCTCTTTGCAGCACAATATTTGACCAAATGGGTAAAAATGACAGTTATTTTAAAAAAGACCATATTTAGGGGAGACCGGGGATGATAGTAACCTAGTGGTTGTTCATGCTAGACCTCTCAAACTTTGATACATTGTAGCCACATTTGTCTACTACGAATACAACTCATTGAACTTGTACTACACAATCACAGATTATGTGAGTTAATGTCAAATACAAAGAGTTCCGTTGTTATAACCTTCCTCACTGCTGGGGTGAGTAGTAACACAGGCTGGGGATAGATGTAACAATAAGTGGTAATTTGGTGAAACAATATCCACACTTTCCAAATTATGCAAGAACTTTATTGAAGAACAAAAATGAACAATTTAAACTAACAAAAATATTCTGGAACTTTAAACTCAAGACTATAACAAATTGCTGTGTGTGTCTGTATAGTATATTTATATTTGTTTTGGAACTTTAAACTTAACACTAACATTTCTGTGTGTGTCAGTGTGTGTGTGTAGTGTATTTATTATGGGACTTTAAACTTAACACTAAGATTTCTGTGTGTGTCAGTGTGGGTGTGTCTGTGTGTGTTGGAACTTTAAACTTAACACTATAACAAATTGCTGTGTGTGTCAATGTATGACAATTTTTAATGAACTGTTATAACTATCCCCACCGCAAGCAGCCATTACATAGCTAACTCTTTTAGCATGTGGGTCTGAAGTTAGCATTAATGTCTAGCATCAAATTAAACTAGAGAAATGGCTACTTAAGATTATGCAAGTCATTTTTTTTATCTACATTACAATGAATGCTAGGCAAAAAATAATTTGAATTAAACTGAAAATCACTTTTTGGGTGATAATATTCACTATCTTGCTCACAGACACATGCCACTTCTCCTGTTAGCTCAAAATGGTGATGGGAGTGTATGATATGGATGACATCACCACAGGTTGTTTCTGATTGGCCAAACTGACAGTGTTACAACTAACCCCATGTTGCAACACTCCCCGGTCTCATTTGAATGAATTATACCATGTATTTCAATTAATTAATTATCGATCAATCGATCGAGAGAGAGAGAGAGAGAGATGACAGTTGTATGTACTAGGGATGTCAATTTTCGATAATTTCCATGATTGATCGTCGTTTTAAATTGATCAATTAATCGTTAACCTTAATACTGCGAAATGCGTCTATTGCAGTGGCATATAGCTAGGCCTATTCACTGGCATGACAGGATGTGCAAATGCCACTCAAAACGCAGGCTTCCTCACCCGAATTAAAGGGGTTATAGTCTAAATAAAAGGCTAGTAGCTGGACTGCAAAATGAATAGATGCTATTATGATCATTTGATAAAATGAAGAGAGCGAGCCGTAGTAAGACTACGGATCATTTTACTTTGTTGGCTGTTTCATATCCCGTCACAGAGACCGCTGAACGTGCCTCTATAAATGGTTTCATGGTGCACATTGTTGTATTTTAAAACACAATCGCAATGTTTGCAATTTACATTATGGTCAATTAAAATAAAATGATCCCAAACGTAACTGTGGTGGGGTGTGCTGCGCAGTTAGAGAAGCACTTCAACCTGCAGTGCTACGGAAAACACTGCTGCTCACATGAAACATTTTAATGCGAGTATTAAAAATAATACAAAAAATTGCCAAATATTATTTTCTATATTTAATACAAGTGAGGTACAACGCTTTGTTTATCAGAGAAATAATGGGTTAGCGGGCAAATGTTACATCGTGACTATGCGATTGCATTCATGCTGTTCGATACCTGTACATTTAAAGCCATACGTGGCTTTATGTTCTCTTCTGCCTGTTGGTCACGAGTTTCCAGGAATTTAATAATATTTATTGTCTCTTTTCCCAAATCCTCGCTGTCTCACTCTCTAATTTCGCAGGTTTATTTTATTGTGGTTCACTTTTAATCACTGTTTTCGCATCTCTTACTGTGGTAAACATATGGGGGAAATAAAAGATTTCGTGGCCATGAATTAAGAATTTGTTTCTATGACTTAATTCGTTCCCTTATTTTAGTAAAATCATGGGTTTTCTAGGGAACAAATGAATGAAACATAGACAGTGCCCAAATTAAGTCAAACGTAGAAACAAATTAAATTACGAATGATAGCCTAAGCCTATATACAGAGGCGTTGTGCCCATTCAAAGTGAGGGGATACGTGCCCCCTCAGATTTTTGAGCCAAGTGGATTTTGAATGCAGCTTCCAAAAGACAAAAAATAGCCGAATAATATTTTCAATATTTAATACAATCACACTGGCGTGATTAGAACGTTCAGTGCGTCATACCATTAGCTGCAAAATTCAAATCTGCTTCGCTGGCTGGCGCTGAGCCAGATACAGACACATTTTTACAGCACTGCGCATTAACCAATCACACACACGATTCTGTTGAGCTTATGAATGCAATGACCAATCAGAGGTGCTCAAATGAGTCATCGCTAAAATGCCGGTGTTTTCTTCACTCGCTCGCTGACTAAATACCTCTTTCTGGCGAATTCTCTCGTTAAAAACAACAAACTGCAGATGTGTGTATGAGTCTGTAAGTAAGATATTCATTTCACAGTGTAAACAGCGTAAACAGCAGTTTTTAATGGGAGTTTTTGAGAGTGCTTGAACTCTAGACTGTCAGTGAAAATGTTATTTGATAATGTAAATGTTCTTTGCTCTCTTACAATCAAAGTGTTATGATAAGTAGCTTACTCTGTTTTTATTCACATTAACTTTCAATGTTAAATTCACATTAAATATAAAGTCAGTCGTATTAAAAATATGTTATGGAATGACACCCATATCTGTTACTAAGTAAGCAGACAGGTTTTTATGTAGGCCTAGGCTATAGTAGGCTAGCTGCTCTCCTGAAACCAGAGTGCCTTTTTATTTTTATTGAATGCTTGGAAAAAACAATAACTACGATTGTCATTGTCAAATCATAACAATACAACATCAATAACACTCGCCGTTGTACTTACTGCTTTTTAAGAGAACTCAATAGATCCTAAAACGGCTCGTTCTAACACGCCCCACATGTCTACCTCACTATGTGGGAAGATTTGCATAACGCCGCCCAAATGTTCACGCAAAGAAAGAAGGCGTAACTTTTATTCTCGCTGTAGTATTGTTGCTGCCGTCGTGTCGTGAAGGCGCTGTGTGCTTCGTTGTGAAAGCAGTTGCCGAAACTGAGCCGACACTGCCGGCATTGGGCCATAATCACGCCAGCATAGATTATAAAATTAGCCGGTACTGGACCGAGTCTAGATTTCAAATGGAAATGTATATGAAATACAGACCTATTTATTTGAATTTATTATTGAAAAAGTGACATCAACAAATCTGTATAAACACTATAGAAACTCCAAGAATTCGCAGGACCTCAACTTTATCCTAAAAGATGATCTTGACAAATCTGACAAAAAAATATAAAAAAGCAATCACAAAAAGATTAAAAGAAGTATAGCAGGAAGGCACATTATTAGCCTACACTATTCACATAAAATGTTGTGTAAATAAATTATTAAATTTCACTAACCAACTACAAAATCCATAGTTCATACTTTTAAAACAGATCAGATGATGCTAGACTGTAAAATAAATAAATGAATAAAATAAATAAATAAATAAAAACTGCTTCATGACATATATTTAATGAACCTAAAAAAAAAAAAAAACATTGAGAAAGTGTTTGACAGTCAGCTTAAAAAAATATACGTACAAAGCCAAAGATGCTCAATGCTGTGGAGCCTTTGCGATGACACAAAAACAAAAGGGAGAAAAAGAAAAAAGCATCACTTAATATGAGTCAGATAATACACATATCTGTACAAACTGAACATGGCAAATCCAAGATGCAGGATGACTGCAAGACTAATCACTTACAACAATCGGATGACAATCTGAAAAAGAAAGAAAGAAAAAATAATAAATATTTTCATTATTGAAAATAATTATAATTTTAGGCCTACTTGAAAATGACTTTTTTTCTTCTTCCCTGGTGTAAACACAGACCTAAATGTTTTAAAAGCAGAATTATTATTATTATTATATATTTTTTTATTATTATTATCTCATAGGGAAGCTACATTGGCTTGTGAGTATTTTCTGTCTCTTGAGAGTGCGCATTCAGTGTGCGTCAGTGTGCTTAAGTGTGAAAACATTATTAATGATAATTGTAAAATTAATATATTTTTTAACTTTATACTTATGTACAGTACACAAAAAATACTTTACCTCAGGAAAGCTCTCCCGTCAGGCGATGTCCGCTCAGTCAAAAGGGAGTGCGGCTGTGCGCGTGAACGGACCGCAGCTTATATAACCTCTGGTTCTTTCGTGGGCTTCGCACGTGAGGTGTAAAATAGTCAAAGTTATATTTACATCTGTTTTACTAATTTATTTTTTATCATCTGAGATGTACATTTAAGTCATTATACCTCACGTTATATTTCCCTGGCAAATTAAGATAATAATAATAATAATAATAATATTATATATATATATATATGACACAGATCTCCGTTTCCTGCCTATTTATTCTGGGAAGTGGCACGAGGCTACAATACTCTTTAATTAAGGTCAGACTCTGAAGTATATTTATATGCATTTGAAACGCTCTCGGTTACTCACGTAACATCGGTTCCCTGAGATGAGGGAACGAGACATTGCTATGGGAATTACCCTTTCCTCTAAATACTACTGAAGTCTTATTGAATCACGCCAGTGAATCTGGCCAATGGCGTTCAAGCACGCAAAATATGAGGGGCTCCCACTCTATATAAGCAGCGCTTGTACGTCATCCATTCAGAATCTTGACTGAAGCAACTTGGCATTCTAAGATCCTGAGCTAGGTGACACGGCAATAAGAGCAATGTCTCGTTCCCTCATCTCAGGAAACCGAGGTTATGTGAGTAACCGAGAGTGTTCCGTTTCAATTCGGTCACTCTACATTGCTATGGGAACGTAAAAAATCCCGCCGTGTCACAGCGATGGAGCCTGGCTCGACTAAGTATGTCAAGTTTCACATACGGAACCGTAATGATGTTGGCGCTCTTGTTAAACACAGTTCAGGTCTACAGGACCTAGTCGAAACCATGTAAAAGTCAAGGGGGAGTGCGGCAACTAGACGATGCCGCGTCACACCAGGGGCGGAGTTAACACCAGTTTTTGAAACAGAGAATGTGAAATGGCGGCGGCTCCGGCACCATCACATATAGATTAGTTGAAGTTTGTTTAATTTCAATGAAATTATGTGTTATGATGCAACAGTCGTACCGGTGCTCAAATAAGCAAAGTATGATGGTGATCATGTCCTAAAAGACGTGATAAACTATATCATAACAATGTGATAAGCTGATAGGGACAGTATTGAATTGGTGGTACGTCAATACAGGGGTGTAAACGACCTAGTCGAAACCACTGAGTCAAGCAGCTCAGATCATAACTGAGGCTGAGTAGGCGCGTGCGCTGCTCGCATTGACAGCACATGTGAGGCAAGCGACGACACATCTAGGTTATAAAACCTCGCGAAAGTGCTGGGTGACAACCAGCCTGCCGCCATGCAAATGTCCTGAATAAATATGCCATTTGCCCAGGCCCACGAGGATGCGAGTACGCGGGTTGAATGGGCCCAAACCCCTATAGGACATTTCACGCCTTTAGAGCTATAAGCCAAAGCAATTGCGTAGACGATTCAGTGTGACAGCCTTTGCTTGGACACAGGCAGGCCTTTTGTGCACCCTCCAAAGCATACAAATAGCTGCTCTGGGAGCCTGAACTGTCTAGAGCGCTCGATATAAATGCGCACCGCATGTACAGGGCACAGCAAATGTGTATTAAGCTTAAGTTTAAATGGAGTCGAAGCACTTTAGGCACATAACCCTTCTTAGGCTTTAAGGTGAGTCTGCAAACACCTGGCCCGAACTCAATACATGAGTCGTCAATTGACAGCGCCTGCAGGTCCCCAACTTGCTTAACAGAGGCCAGCGCTCGCAAGCTCGTTGATTGAATGGGCTCGAACGGGGGTCCCATGAGAGCGTCCAGCACAAGCGCCAAATCCCAAGTGGGCAGGGTGGAAAGGCAAGGAGGGTTCAGCCTTCTTGCCCCTTTTAATAATCGTATGATCAGGTCATTTCTGCCGATTACGCGATTATCGACGTGCGCATGGAACGCTGCCTTGGAATAATAATAATAATAATAATAATAATTCATTACATTTATATAGCGCTTTTCTAGGCACTCAAAGCGCTTTACATTGTCAGGGGGTATCTCCTCATCCACCACCAGTGTGCAGCATCCACCTGGATGATGCGACGGCAGCCATAGTGCGCCAGAACGCCCACCACACACCAGCTTATTGGTGGAGAGGAGACAGAGTGATGAAGCCAATCAGCAGATATGGGGATTGTTAGGAGGCCATAATGATCAGAGGCCAATGGGTGAATTTGGCCAGGATGCCGAGGTCACACCTCTACTCTTTTCGAAAGACATCCTGGGATTTTTAATGACCACAGAGAGTCAGGACCTCGGTTTAACGTCTCATCCGAAGGACGGTGCTTGTTGACAGTATAGTGTCCCCGTCACTACACTGGGGCGTTAGGACCCACACAGACCACAGGGTGAGCCCCCCCAGCTGGCCTCACTAACACCTCTTCCAGCAGCTACCTAGTTTTCCCAGAAGGTCTCCCATCCAGGTACTGACCAGGCTCAGCCCTGCTTAGCTTCAGTGGGCAACCAATCTTGGGCTACAGGGTGATATGGCTGCCGGGTGTAGCGGCCACATACACTTTCTATGTGGATGGCGTACGACCACCGTCAAATCGCTCTTGAAGGAAGGCAAGAATTATTGGTATTGGGAAGTTGAATGGGTCTTTGGCCCGCGACCCGCACCAATTTGTGAAAACTCTCCATTTATGTGCGTAAAGACGTCTAGTGGAAGGAGCTCTAGCCTCAGAGATAGTGTTCAACATGCGCTGAGGAAGTGCATCTGTTACAGGCAAGCTCTGTTGAGCGGCCAGACATGAAGGCTCCATGACTCTGGATTTGGATGCCATATCGTTAACTGTGCTTGAGAGAGGAGGTCTCTCTTCAGTGGGGCTACCAGCATCTCCACCAGTTCTGGAAACCACGGCTGATTGGGCCATTTCGGTGCCACTAACAGAACTGATTCATTTTCCTCTCTGATTTTGCAAAGCACGCGAGTCATAATGCACAGCCAGAACCAAACGGACAGAACGGCAAAACTAACTGAATTATAACTGCCACCGTTTAGAATAAAACAAACTTGTATTTTATGACCAGAGCTGATGCAAAAAACAAAACAATTTGTGAAATGTTTGCGATTTGTAGAGTAAAGTACCGGCAGCTCAAGCATTTTCATAATCTCTAATTTGAATAAAAAGACTTTGATTCTGGAACTCATTCTTGTTAAGTACGGCCGCTGTTGTCACCAGAAAAACGTTTACCCTGCAAGCGCCAGTCCGGAAGCCAGGATCACGGAAGTGTGAAAAAGGCTAATTCGCAAAGGCATTGAAGTTTCAGTTTTGAAAATGCCCATAATCAGAGAACGGCGTCTGCAGGGATCTTTCCTAAAGACTGGCGATTTGTTGTAGACTGTCTATCTCTATAGCATATGAGTAATTCTTTTCGTGATGTGTTGTTATGTTGTGCATGCATTATTTAGGCTATATTTTCTCTCTTTTTAGTTTGGGTTTTCTCTCTTTTATTAGTTGGCTGTTTGGACGAACTGTAAGTTATAACTGTTGCAAACATCTGTTTTTCTCACATAACTGTCAAAAATGTATATATATATGATATTAGAAGTAAAAATCTCATTATAAAATGTTGCTATTTCCAACAGCCAGTGTTTCGCTGTCAGAGAGAAAGATTGTGCTTCTTGGGAAAACAGGAGACGGCAAAAGCAGCGCTGGGAATACAATTCTTGGAAAAAATGTGTTCAGCACTAAAGCTTCAGCTAATTCTGTAACAGATAAATGTGTAAGTGCAGCTGGGATGCTCGATGGAAGAAAGATCACAGTGATTGACACACCTGGATTCTTTGACACAGATCGTGATGAAGAGGAGATCAAATCTGAGATTGTGAAAGCTCTGACTCACTGCGCTCCAGGCATCAATGCTTTTGTCATGGTCCTAAAGGTCGGAAGATACACAAGACAAGAAAACGAGGTGGTACAGAAAATCCTGAACACCTTCAAAGATGAACACCTCTTAAAACACACAGTGATCTTATTCACTTTTGGTGATCAACTAGAAGACCAAACCATTGAAGAGTTTGTGAAGGCCAGTTCACAACTACAGGAGCTGGTTGATAAATGTGGAGGTCGCTGTCACGTCGTCGACAACAAATACTGGAACAACTGTCATTCAGGGTACACGAGCAACAGGGTTCAGGTGAAAAATCTGCTGGAGACCATCGACAAGATGGTGGAAGAGAACGGCTGCTACAGCAATGAGCTTCTTCAGATGTTGGAGAAAGAAATTCAAGAGGAAATGAAAAATAATAAGAACTTGCCTCCAGAAGAGCAACGAGAAAAAGCAAAGAAAATTGTTCATAAAAAATTTCTTAAGCAGCTTGTAGGAGCATCAACAGCAGTGGTGATCGGTGCTCTTCTGGGAGCATGTGTTGCAGTAGCTTTTGTTTATACTTTATTAAAACCATTGAAAAGATGTATTGCTAAAAGAGGTGCAGTAGTAGTGACAGAAAATGTAGCGGAATCAAGTGAGGAATTTAAACTTGTGGCTTCAAGAAGAGTAGGAGTAGTAGCAAAAGCAGGAGTAGCTGTTATTGGAGTCGCAGCTGTTGTAGGAGCTGCTGGAGGAGGAATCACTGGATGGAAAGCAGCAGAAGAAGCTGATTCAGTGTATGACGCCATGATCAAGGCAGCACAGCTTAACTACGAGAATGCAACAGCTCTGGTTGAGAAAGCAGTAGAAGTAGTTCAGCTTGGGTCTAAGAAAAAAATAAAATAAATGGATATTGACTAGCATTTTCATTTAGAGTAATGCATGATCTCCAGCTTTAAGTTTTGGGAATGTGTAAATAACAAAAAAAAAAAAATGCTTTTCAGATTCATTTAAACATCATTTGAGTATTTGCTAGTGTGTTAATTAAATTGTGTTGCAGTCACACGTGTTTGATTCTCTGTTCAGTTTCCTGTACATGCGTATAGATGTGACCTGGGTTTCATTACCGCAAATCTTACCTAGAAATGTATCTTTTCTTCCTTGAGTTATCAGTGACAAAAGATAATAATCTATTAATATATGTGTGACTGAGTGTGTTTGATTATTGCACAGCCAGTGTACACGATAACGGAGATTAAAAAAATAATAATAATGGGGTAAAACAATATGCCTTTAAAATGATACTCTACAACAGTGCACAATGTTTTTTTGTTTTGTATTTGTTTTATTCTGTGCATTATTCTGCATCATTTTCATGAAAATGTGTGTTCAGTTAAAAATAAATAAATACATTCTAAATGTTTGTGATTTGCCAGAATGACTTCAGTCAGCATTCAATTCAGAATTATTTGTATTCACATTTTTTTCCCCAAAAAATTGTAAACGGTACAAAACTTTACTTTTAAAACTGTATTTTGTCCAGTAGATGTCGCTCATGCAACTCATAGAGGCCTTTACTGGAGTTCTCTGGTAACAAGGCAAACATGATGTTCTTCATATTTGACACACACATACACACACACACGTTTCTTAATATTCATTTTAAATATACTCTAATCCTATATATATATATATAGGCGCTGATGTATGTTTCTGCCGGTGGGTGCTCAACCCCCAATAATATTTTTATTATGTTCTCTCAACATAATTTATCCCTGTTTATGTTACATAACTTATGTCAAATGAACATGATTTTTTATGTTGTTTTTATGATTTTTGTGCCACGTACCTCCTGTTGATTTAACATCATTTTTGTTTAAATAAAAGCTTTATCCACTATATGCAGTGGTGTTTCAATAAATTAAATAAAACTATGATAAAATGTACGATAAATCCAGATCAAATTAATAACAGAATAAAAAAGGCTTTGGTAAACAATAAGTACTACTTTTTAAATAAATAAAAGCGTTTTAGCACCCTAATATTGTAGATTTTTAAGTAAGGCAATAAGCAAAAACATTTCTTGGAAAGAAATACTGTATTTTTTCAATAGTACACAACAATCCACACAGATTACAAATATACAGGAGACATGTTACAGACATAGCTCATTTGTTTGAAATGCATCTGTTAAAGTATAATATAAGCCCATATAAAAGCAAAATCCAAAACTAAAACTAACACTTCATTCCCCTCAACCCACGCCCCCCAAAAATTGCTTTACGTAATACGATGTTACACAATAAGAACAATAACAGCATAACTAATGTACTACAAAAAACATTTCTACATTTTTTAGGAAGGACTTTCTTTGAAAGTGTGCTGATTTTAAAGCTCCAACATTATACGCCTCAAAGAAATACTTCAATGGATTATTCACCCAAAAATGAAAATGCTGGTATCATTTACTCACCCTCAAGTTGTTCCAAACCTGTATAAATTTCTTTGT